AATTCATTATTCACCATTATTATAATTTGAATACGGAGAGCGCCGTTAATTAAACCGTAAGGTAGTAAAATACCGTATACATCTTCCTATCAAGTAGGCGGCCTTACACAAAGTTTTCCCGACATCCCGTACCGATACGGTCCTGATGTGTGGAGGTTGTGTGTGTGCGTGAGTAGGCAAACGGCGTGTCATTCCGGTTCTGTTCAAACTTACTTTCAGAAAAGGCCGCGCCATAACTCAAGCGGTTAGTCGCTGCCCTTCCACCGCGGCGGCCCGGTTTCGATCCCGGGTCCCGTCAAGTGGGTTTGTGGTGGACAAAGTGGCCCTGGGGCAGGTTTTCTCCGAGTACTTCGGTTTCCCCTGCCAATCTTCATTCCACCACTTGCTCCACAATCACCCTCACTTATCATCTGGGGCTGGTACAATAGGCCAGAAGTGGCCGCAGTAGAAGGGACTCAGTCCCACCCCACTAGCAATAAAAAAAATACTTTCAGAAACTTTAACCGCAGGCTTTAATGGTCGTTCTCCAAACACGCGCACATAGGCCCTCCGGTTTAGAACGGTTGAGAACTGTGGTTGTTTCTGTTAAAAATGGCTAGGTAAGGTTGCCCCCGTGCTTAATTAATTAAGCACCTTGTCATGAAGACCTTTATAGGAGTAGAGATATAACTCCACCATTCTTGACCTCAGCACTGGTTGGAGGTAAGTGGTCAGCGTTACGCCCCAGCCGCTTTACCCACGGAAAAGGAGCCCCATGGTTAGGAGTCTGAGTGGGCTTCAGACGCTGTCTGGACGCTGAGCAGTAGAGAAACACTCTTGGTCCTCAGGGAATCGAACCCCGTCTGTCCAGCCCCTCGCTGTACCGCCTGAGCTGTTCCGGCTCGTCGTGGTTTGTAGTAGTGAAGTGCTCTTTTTCTAAAAGGCGCATGCTTATATTTTTCCTTTGCGTGTGACTAACATTTGACCTGCCTAAATCATAGAATATATTCATTAATGACAAGTTAGTGTAGCCCATGGCTCAACAAAACCCACGTGTTTTCTTACGCGAATACGTAATTTCGCCGTTGAGAAGAAAACTGCGGACTGCTTATTTTTTCAACCGAGGTGAAAAGACTTGATTCACATCAGATAACGTCCAGTCGACGATTTTCATCCACTAGCACGCGGGTTTAACCCGGTTAAATTTGTGGCCCCTTAGTTGTCGAGGACGGTTGTGAACCATCGGAGACTGCAAGCATGAACGCATACTTATTCGCACGGTTCATATGTACGGCTAAAACCGCGCGTGTTTACTGTGTACGCAGAGCTCTTCCCCTGGGGTATTGCTGTTCCAGTGTGAAGGTAATCAGTTACCTCCAGCAAATGCCAAGCTATCCCGCCACTTCCTCTGCAGCTTCATGACGGGAACTTCATCATGTATCTAATGGATTTTTTTTACCAAAGTTGACTACATTTTTTAAAATGCTTTAGATATGTAGGTGGAGACTTTTTCGATAGTTGTGTCATATATAAATTTATTAGTGGCATTTATAAACGTAAATAAAGATCGTAAACCAGACATAGCCTGCATATATTGGAAAGCATCAGTTTACTTGTCCCTTTAGGCAGGTTCGTCAAGGCTGTTGTTGTCAGACGTGTTGTCTGTAAATGGCGTGCATCTGTGCATGGACTTCATGTTAACTTTTTACCTAATGTATCAAGGAAGCGATACAATCAGTGTTAGAAGAGTATCCTGTTCATGGGATAGATTTGGCTGTTTCTGATTACATCTTCATTTGTATTCTTTATTTGACGTCAGAGTTTATTTAAAAGTCGTTTGTATTCCCAGCAGATGTTGGTGCTGGTTTGGATTGTTTATTATTTTGGGTCGCAGTATTGAATTATAAGGCAGACTTGGTTTTAACAGTTTCTGTTGATACATTCTAGGAAATTCTCAAAGTCAGAATTTTTAGAGTGTTATTAGGGAGTGTATCTTGATGTTTGAAATAGAAACAACGATTTATGTTGCATTGTAGTTAAGGATTTCGACAGGTGTTATCTCATACCCTCTTAAATCTCATGCTAGGATTACCAAGAATGAACGTACTAGATGGTCTTGACTGAATGATAGAACTCTTGCCATGCATTTGGGAGGTGCCTTGTTCAAGTCATTTTCAAATTATATGTAAATTTATCTGCTAGGATAAACATAAAGTTGTTCCTGTGCCTAAGCACTGATGGGGGGCCATGGAGGCAGAAACCACAGATTGTGGACTTTGGCATTAGATGGAGGTTCTGCCTGTTTTACCACCGTGAAGATTACACCAGTTTCCAGATAAGCTAGGCGAACCTGGATCCACTGTGCCTAAAACAGTGTTATCACCTCCCTTAAAGACAGTCACACTTGCCATGAGAGTTTCCAGCTGGAGTGAAATGCATCTTATGTATGATTGAGGTTTTTACGAATTTTGAACTTCTGACAAGGCTCATGTTCTGTGTCTTATTACAGGGAAGCTGAATTGAAATTAGCCCTTTGTGTTATACAATTTAGTTTCCATGTGTTATTACACTTCAAGTAGCATGTGTTACCATTTGCAGTTAGTGGATTTTTTTTTCAGAGAGTATTTAATTTAACAAAAAACCGAGGGTGCCTTGTTCGGATCCTGGCCACGCCACCAGATAACGTGATATGTTTTAATGGTTTTTCTCAATCCATCAAGGAAATTGTTGGGATAATATCTCTTTTAGGCTATGACCGCTTCCTTCCAAATCTTTTATCATTCATTGTCCATCTTTCATACTGTACAATGCTATATAGTTTAGCCATGTACAGCGTCTTAACCCATGAAAGACAAAACTTAAACCACCAAGCAGATGTTCTGCCTAATATCAGACACTCTAAATATTAGGTTGTCCAGTGATTGAGATTTTCCCTGACAGATCTAGTTGAGTAGGTTCCATACCACCTTTTCTCACCTGAAGACAGATCAAATTTCTGATACCTATTCTGTTTGGAATACTGGATGATGAAGAAAGTTTCATAAAACCTATAATCCTAAGCGTAAGATAACCATTAGCAAATCCCTCTAGAATTAATTTTTTGTTTATGTATAGTGTATATTTTTAGGAATTCTGCTCTGTTATAAAATTGCATACCCCTGTGCTGAAAACTTTGGATCTATTAAGATCGCATGGGTTTGCTTGATTTTGTTAACTTCATATATTACAAAGCATGCCATGTAGGATGATTCTGAATAATGAAATTGGCAGATGTAATCTTGATCTGTTGTAAGATGTTATCCCAAGATTTGCATGAAGGCCCTGATGAAAACCCTCAGGGAAAATAGCAGGTTTCTGAGCTTTCTTGGCCATTATAGTCGTATCACTCATTTTGTTGTAATTGCAGATGACTGCATTATGTAACATTTAACAGCCATTTCCACACAGTACTGTTTCCCTTCAGTGAATTGTGTAAACCTCCTGGAGAGTATTTGTCACCCATTATCTTCCTTAGTTACTGTATTTACGCATGTATAGGCCGCACATTTTTTGCCAAAAATTCAAGAGGAAAACTGGGGTGCGGCTTATATTCGAAATATTCGAAATCACACTTCATTTAAAAAAATTATATTCGTAATTAGTAATACAGGGTGTTCTACTCCTGAAATAATATTCCAAGAAAATTATTTTTCTATAATTTCTGTCTGAAAATTGTGCTGTGGCCTATACACGCATGCGGCCTATACATGCGTAAATACGGTATTATAACATGCTTATGAATATAGATATGATTGGGACATGTGTGTGTATAAAGTGGGCAGCCAATGCATGCTAAGAGAAAGATTCTGTAGGACACCCATGTAGCACGTTCTTCAATGAAGCCATGCAATAACTAGGGTAGTTAATCGTTATCTTCTCACTACCAAGGTCTGGGTTCTATCCCAGACCAGTTCATATGGGATTTAGGATGGATAGTATAGCACTGGGTTTTTCACTAAGGACATTAGTTCTGTCCTGCTAATTATCAACGCACCAGTACTCCATACCGGTCTGTCATCAGTGTCTGGTACAGCAGGCTCATTTGAGGCCACATTCCCAAGGGTCTGTGTCTCTCCCCACCCAAAGGGTTAAGAAGAAACTTATATGATGACCAGTTAGAAATTGTAAGACTAGCCACATTCATTGTTGTGCAGGTGCTATATTTTCCCTTCAAACACTTATTTTCATGTTTATTACTTCTGAAAATAAATCAACAAGACGTAAGACAAGATAGGACAAGGCAAATGTATAATGAAGAAGTTAAATGTAGTGCTGCAGAATAATGAAGGTACAAAAAGAAATGGACAAATAGTTAATGAAACAAGATTAGAGTGTATTTCTGCCTTTAGTCAAAAGCATGGTTCATAATGAACAAGTTAAATGTTATATTGTGGAATAGGAAATAAAGGAACAAAATAAAAGAGTAATTTACAAAATAATATTGTATAGCATTTGAGAGTATGATTCAGAATCAGTGGTCTTAAGTGAAGGATATTAGAGTACATTTTTAAGTTCTCGAAGTGAGATTTTGTCAGCAGAGATATGTAACCTACAAGATATTAGCTATACATATCCTTGAACGTGGAAGATGCATGTGTGCATGTGTAATCACAGAATAATGAGTTCTGACTGATAGTATTATTAACATTGTGATTGGTTTGTCCTTTGGTCTTTCATGTTTGAGTTCAAATGAGATGAAGCTGGTATTTATTCTTTGTCATCTAGAATCAGGGGAGTTAAATGCCTCATTAATACAGTGGGCTGGTGACCAGAATGTACCTTGAAGGTTAGTGATACGTGCATTGAACAAATGCAAAGGCAGACTTGCTTGCCTGTGCACATGCATGTCACAATAGTGTGGCACATGGCTGTGAAGGTTAATAATACAAAATCAGTTTCCTATTTAACAAGTTCTGTTTGTGGAATACTGCCCATTACGTTCCTGAAATTATGCATTTATAATGCTTTTTATTTTGTTCCAGAGCGCTTTAAGTAACTTGGAAGAAATGAAAGCAGGACGGAGTGACAGCCCTATGGTTTATCGTGAACGGGTTGTTCGGAGTGTGGGAGTAGGTCCAATGAGATCAAGACCAAATGAGAAACGGATAGATACTTCACCATATAGTAGTGGGGCATATTTATCCCCTCCTCCAGACACCAGTTGGCGACGTGCAAACTCAGATTCAGCTTTGCACCAGAGTGCCATGAATATAGGAAGTGAAACTTCTTTACACAACTCAGGTTCACAGAGAAGAGGTGAGATATTTCACAGCCTCAAAATTTCAAAAAATGTGCCCAAAATTTATTGTTTGTAGCTGTTTGTAAATATTCAAAATTATTAAAGAAAATTCTGATACATCAGTATGCTGGGTTGCATAAGGACACATGCCAGTTCAAAATGCAGTGTCTCAGCATATGAGCTCTCCAAATTATATCATGTCAGTGGTAGAATGTGGGAGGAAAAAGTTGTCTTCTGTTTTAAGATACTCTTCCAGAATTTGTCTGGAGGGACCAAGGAAACCCACACAAAACCCCAGTCAGAATAACTGGTCTCTAGGCCAGAACTGAGGCATGTAAGCTAAATTGCTAACCACCACTCTGTGATGCTGGTGAATTCTGTAGGGCATAGACTGTTTGCTGCAAAATTTGGAAGTTCTAAATTGTAATTCTAACTGGCTGAGTAATTTAAATGACCATTAACCCTTTAAGTGTACAGCATGAGTAGAATAAGTTAATTTTTTATGAGTGAATATTTGCTGTGAGTTAATTTCAGATTAAACAAGTGAATTTCTCTATACTGACTTAAGCATCACATCATGAAGATGTATGGGCGAGTTGAGGTATAGCTGCATGCATTCCACATGCACATGCACACACACACACAAGGAGTGGGTCTGTGACCCTTAGTGATTATTGTGCATACTCTGTTATAACCCTTCAACAATCTTGCACTTTGAATGAAGTACAGAATCCTGCTTATAGGGATATCATAATAGTCATCTGGTTCCATAACATATTGGCCCAGGTGACAAAATTTTAAGCAAGCAGTGGCCTCGGGGCTGCGCCATAGCTCAAGCGGTTAGTCTACCGGTGGCCTGGGTTCAATCCCGGGTCTGGTCAAGTGGGATTTGTGGTGGACAAAGTGGTGCTGGGGAAGGTTTTCTCTGAGTACTTCGGTTTCCCCTGCCAATCTTCATTCCACCAAGTGCTCCACAATCACCCTCACCTATCATCTTGGGCTGGTACAATAGGACAGAAGTGGCTGCAGTACAAGGGACTCAGTCCCACCCCACTAGCAATAAAAAAAACTGTGGCCTCACACTCGTATAGGATGTGTGTGGCTGATTCATCTTTTTCTAGGCACCTTTCAAACATAGGACTGTCTGTCAGTCCCATTTCGAACAGGTGCCCTTTTAAGTGACAGTGTTCTGTGTAGTCCTACCAGCCACCATAACTGGTGTCTTTTTAAATTCATCAGTTTCTTTGTTCTTCTGGCAGAAGATCCTTGTATTGTATGAGTCCATTTCCCTCTCTGAGTCCTGTTAAGGATTCCCAGTGTTTTCTATGGTCTCTGTTCAGTCCCTGACATCTTTCTTGACATTGCTACAGAGATGCAACAAGCTGGTTGAGGCCCTGTAAACAGACAGTCAGATCCCAGTTTTGCTGTTGATCAGCAGTTTTGTTGTCAACAATATTCTCATGACCAGACACCCATATTGGTTGAACTCTGTTATGTTTGTCAAGTTGCATGAGGGATTAATAGCAGCCCCAAACCAGTTTCGAAATGATCTGGTGATTGTCAAGTGCTTTAATTGCAGCTTGACTCTCTGATAGAATATAGATGTTTCTGTATTTCCTGTCTAGATTATCAGTTCCCCATGCCTTAACGGAATGCACTTCTTCTTGGAATACCGTGGTGTATTGCTCAAGGCTGAGGCTAAGCTTCCACCTTGTGCCATAACTATCACCCCAGCCCCTGTACCCTTGTTGGTCTTGGAGCCATCTGTGTACCAGATTAGCCGTCCCTCCTGTAACCGTTTGAACCGACGGCCTTTCCCCCAGACAAGAATACTTTCCTAATGGCTGATTTTAACTGCCAATTCATCATACCATCAGCACTAGACAATCATATAAGGAACTTTGAGAATAAAGAGATGCAAAGATATTGAACCTGGAACCCCACATGTGAAAGCGGTTATTTCTTAGTTTAGGGTCCAATTACACCCTTCCGAAGACACTTTTATCACAGCTACCCTATCAGCAAAGCAAATTTTACATCTTCGGCAAACTACAGACTTGCCTTTTGTGATGGCAGCATCCCTTTTGCGGTCACCCAAGCTGCAGGTAACAAAACAAGGTAGTTGTTCCTGTGCAGATGCGAAAAGCAAAATCATAACTTGCTAATGGATCGGTCTCCCCAATAAATCAGTCACGATATTGAAATGGCTAAAGAGGAACATAGCATCCATTGAAGAGTTTTAAAAGGTTTGGACTGTCACACTCCCTTTTGGGTTGAAACTTGTCTTTCCATGCAGGGAATCTGACTGTGAAACGTTTGTCGGACACACGTCTCGGTATCATTCTGCCAGTCCCCATCTGTTGGATGTGTTCTTTCTTCATGCCCTGAGTGTCATGTATGCATATCCAAAACCTTTGGATATTGGTTTCCATTGATTGCTGCAATAGAGTCTATAAATACCTCCAACTGCAAGTGCAAAGGGGGGGGGGGGGGCCCAGGGAAGACCTCAGTTGCAGCTGTTGGTGCTGTTTTCATTCCTCCAGTAATGCCTAAGCAGGTCATCCTTTGCAGATGGCTAAGTTCTACCTTTTTCTTGTTTTGAGTTTGATTCGAATCTATCACATAGTGGCAGCACAAGTGACCACGGTCTTACAACCATGGTGTTTATCCAGTAATCATCTTTGGTTTCAGTCCCCAAGTTTTCCCAAACGTACCTCTGCACACCCAAAAGGCCCTCTAGGTCTTGTTGGTTACTTTATTCAGCTGCTTTTTCCATATCAGCCCCTTGTCCAATGTTAGTCCAAGGTACTTGAACTCATAGGACAGCTAGATTGTATTATTGAAGAGGGTTGGTTCTGTAAGTCCCCTGATATCCCTCTTTCTAATAAAAGGTATTATCACCGTCTTATTGGGGTTGATGGACAAATTTGTCCTATCGCATCAGTACTGCATTATGCATAGAGCTCTTTGTAAGACCTCTGACACAGCCCAAGGGAATTTTTCGTTTATTAGGATTGCAGTATTATCTGCATGTCAGACTGCAGAGTTTTTCAACCTTTTTCAACTCCCACCACACCAAGCAAGGTGCTAAACTCATAAAAGCACACCATCAGTTTTTTAAGGAGAGGTTTTGTTATTAAAAAATGAGTAATAAGATTGTGTTTAAATGTTAAATAGCTGAAATTTCAATCATTATATTATTTTTGGAAATAATATTGATCATGGATTTCAATGATTATTTCATTCCTCAAAATTTTCTCAATTCTTTTTTACCTTCCTTCAAAAACCCGCACCACACCTGGTGTCCCCCCCCCCCACTCCACCTACGCTTTCATTTCACAAGGTGAAGGGTCCCTTCTTCATTTCTCCTTTCTTAGCAGACCAGGTTCTCTCCATAGGGGTCACAGGATCTGCAGGAGCTGGTTTGATGATCCCTGTTACCATTTCTGTTGCCCTTCTCCATTGAGCAGTATTAGTCCCAGAAGGGGTGGGCATACCTGCTTCTTCTCCCTCGGAGACTGACGCTGAGGGTACTGGGCTCATTGCTGCCCCTTATCTCTGCTGAGGCTCTCCTTAAGTATCTCTTAGAACCCTAAGAGTTCCCCGAGAAAGCCCTGTAAAATAAAATCGTGTACCCCGTCCCCTTGATGACTGTGTCGGAATCCCGGTCTATAACAAGTATTAGTCTCTGGCCTTATGGCTCAGGTAGCATGTTGAGTATTCTCCTGGCTCGTGTCAGATGTCAAGTATCCTCCAGTGCTCAGTATGAGGCTGTCATGGAACAAGAACTTGAGGAGGAGTATTCTTGTGATGCCACTTTATTACTCAACACCGTAACTACAATTAAACATAACTATAACACAGATGTTCAACAAGTCATTTCACAGTTGCTCCTTTCATGTTAACAACTCTCACTACACTGTAGAACTGTCTGTCTCTCTGTGCTGGCTAACAACTGGCTTCTCTCAAAACAAACTGCCTCACTCAGTCCTCAGCTGGCTTCTTATTCTGTTGCCTGTTGCCCTAGCAGCAGCAGCAGGGTCTGCTGTTACATCACAGTGGGGAAGTGTTTACTGGCCTGTTGCCTGGCAGCGGCAGCGGCGTTCACTGTTACATCACTTTGGGGAATTGTTGCCTAACACAGCTCCTGTGCTGTTGCGTCACCGCGGGGCAGCGTTACAGGCAACGTGTGTTAAAGCATCACGCTGAGTCCACAATTCTCAACAGAGGCCCTGGTTGAGGTCCTTAATCCACTTCATCAGTTTGTCAGAAGTCTTGGCAACCTTCCTTCTTACAGCAACCTTAACAGGCTTGCGGATGTTCCTGGCATCCATAGCCTTCAGCTTGGCCACTGATATCAGCCTGTGATTATCAGTGGCCTTATTGAGCCACTGACTAGACTATTGGCCAGCATGCACACAAATGAGTGAACCTTCCTCAGGACCTCAGGTGTGGTAGTTCTCTTTTGTAGTCCTACAGAACATACTTCCCTTCTTCAAGAATTTGACTCTAAATCATCCTCAGTCAGCTTATGATCATGGTGTTTCTCTTGGAAGATTGGTATCTTAATGTTGGTCAGGACGTCATATGTACATAGCCCACTGGAGTCCCTAGGCCTTTTCAGAGGTCTGACCCCTTCTGTAGGGGTACTAGCATCAGGCCTTGGCCTTTTAGAGGTCCTGGTCAAGGTTTCTCCCTGCTTGCAGATGCCTGAATTTCCTGATTCCTGAGTGCCTTTGTTTTATGCTTGACTTGCCCTTGCTATCTTTATTATCTATCTAGCACATCCAGATAGTTTTGTCCTCACCAGGTGGAGCCTGCCTACTCCTGAGGCTAGTAGACTTTTTCCTTCTGCGGTTATGCTAGAACTGCTGGCTCCCTGTAGTGATATGTCAGAACTGCTGACTTGATGTGACCTTAGGCAGGTTTCTCATTACCAGTTCATTCCTGCCTTTGACTGAAATCTCAACAGCTGGTTCACCCATTGCATCAGCACCACTTGATGCTGCGGTCAAGCTCCTGGCCTCCTGCTGGGAGTTTGTCCTTTTTTCAAGATTTGTAGACCTGTTTTCATTTTCCTGGTTTCCATTAGCTGTCCCACAAGTATTGGGGACTTAACAAGGTTACCTCCCAGAGTGCCCCACATGGGTAGAAGGCATAAATAAAATAGGGTCCTGTCTGGTGCCTTGATGGAATCGTTAACGATACTGGCTAGATTCCACCGCAGTGCCACACAGCCCTCAGCACAATGCCTCACATCTTGGTTTAGGTGGACTGTTGCCCTGTTCACAATCTTTTCAGATGTAACCCCTTTCCACGATGAGGATGAAAGGTTGGCTTTTGGAGGGGTGCATGCATTCTAACTTTGTCACTAGAAGGAGGTGAATGGTTACTCTCACAGCACAACTGCTTTATCTGTACAGATAGAGTGCCTAGTACCCCTTGTGTAGGAGTTTGGGTGGACCCCAGAACTGGTTTAGAATTGTGTCCCAGTCATCCATCCTGTAGCCAGTACTGTACGCCTGCGCTACCCTGGTTCATGTGAACTGCGAAATGAATTTTAATTCTCTTTGAATTAGGTGTATTGCAAACACTTGTTCAGTTGAAACTGTGTTTGAGAAACATTCCCCAATATATCAGAGGCACATTCCACCTCAGATTTGAATGTGACTGTTAAAAAGGAACTGAACTCTGCTCATTGTAAGTTTCAACAGCATACCTATGAATGCATGTGCTGTATTGTGTTGATGGTCTTGAATGCGCTCAAAGTATGCGCCATATTTCAGTTATGCATCAGATTCCACCACTCTTAGACTGGTAGGACCTGTCGTGGAGTTTTGTGAGGTGGGTACATTATGGTTTGATTGAATAATGTTATTTCATACTTCAGTGGCAGAGATATAGGCTTCCATATAGGTCAGAAACCCAATTTCATCCCCTGTCCACAGTGACAGAATTTTTCACCCGGACCAAAAATTGATAGGCCTCTACTGTTTGAAGACTGATGTAGTGGCATTATCATGCTGATAAATTTGAAATGGTGATGTACGAGGGAGAGTCAGTAAATAGGTCACAAATGGAACTAAAACAGCTGTAAAGAATAATAGGTCGTCTATGTGTATCACCAGGTAGCAGCACAGTTTAGCTTCATGACAGTCTGGGCAGCAGATGTGCATGTGCATGTTCAGTGACTGGCCTCGGTAGTCAAAATGGCGACCTTGCCTGAGCAGAGCACTGAAGAGCAGAGTTCTGTTATGCATTTTTTTTTTTTGTGTGGAAGAGGACCCAATGCAAAGGATATTAATAAAGAAATGTTTTCTGTTTATGGTGGAAGTGTTTGCCCCATAAAGCAGTTCACAACTGAGTAAAAAACTTCTCTTAAGGATGGTTTAAAGTCTCAGATGATGCCCAACCAGGTCACCCTGTTGAGACTGCGACAGAAGCAACACTGCAATGAGTGGAAGTGGAAGAGTTGATTCAGGATGACAGGAGGATAACAATAGACAATGTAGCAACTGCACTAGGGTGTTCCCATGGTTTAGCATCAGCATAATGCATGATCGTTTGAAGTTCCGGAAAGTGTGCATGTGGTGGGTGCCCAGAGAACTGAAGGATCAAGAAAAGGTAAACCCTATGGGTCTGTCTTTGGAACATCTCTTATGGTATGCAGATGAAGGAGAAGATATGCTTACAAGTAACAGGATTGTTACTGGTTACAAATGATGGGTGCATCACTGCCAACCCAAATCAAAGCTTCCTTCAGTGCAGAGGAATCATCCCATTTCACCTTCAACCAAAAAGCTCAAAGTTTAAGGTTACACCATCAGTTGGGAAGGCTATGCATGCCTTGTTTTAGGATTCTCAGGAAGTAATGTTAGCCCATTTTCAGAAGCATGGTGAAAATGTGGACTATGCATTATACTATGTAGTTCTGTTGAAGCTCCAGGATGCGATTCGCACAAAACATCCAGGCCAACTGGCAAGAGGGTGACTGTTTCATCATGATAATGCCAGAACCCATACAGCCCGGCAACCCAGAAGAGAATTCAAGAATTACAGTGGGTTCTTCTTGACATTCACCTTACAGCCCAGACCTTAGTCACTTCCATCTCTTTGATCTGCTGAAAAACCACAGCAGCAAACATTTCACTGATGATGAAAAAGTTGGCTGGCAGTGCAGAAGTTGCTGAAACAACAGCCAAAAGATTCTGTGCTGCAGGTTTCTTTGCATTGGTAAAGCGACAGGACAGATGTATCAGCGTTGGTGGATATGTCAAGTAATAAATGCCTTTTCCAGGTTCGAATGTCACATTTTATGAGTATACCCATTTTTGGCCTATTTACTGACTCTCCCTCGCATGTGATGGTTGGCCAGCAAGAAATTATGGTACCGAACATCGTGATTTAGTGGACAACACCCTGCTTCAGACGCGGGTTATTTTGGCTTGAAGACTGGCTATTTTAATTAAGACTTTTGTGATTTTCCTTAGTTAATTTAGACATACTATGCTAATATCATGGAACAGTACAGTTACATCCTCCATATCCCTCTCAGCTCACCATTATTAATCATCATATAACCTGTGAATGATCCAGGATAGCTCAATCATTGTAGTGACTGACTAAATTGATATTGTCAAGGTTCAGTTTCTGTTCCCTGGAGGATTTTTTTTCTGTTTATCATTATGTCTATACCAGCCCTGGATCACAACCAACTTCCTATCCTGTACATATGAGGGGCTCTTTCAGGGGCTGAAATAACTAATCAGTGAAACTTATCTTTCACTTCCCCTACCTTGTGTGTAAGATAAGAATGAATGGAGCCTTGTATGAGACTTGAAGTGATTTGGTGATTAAAGTGGTGAACTCTTCTCGAGTGATCATCTGCATCAGTTTCCAGAACACTGGACTTTGCTGCAAAGTAATGCTGCTTGTTGTCCAAGAAAATCTTATGACATAGATCTTGAATTTAGTGCCCATGTATGTATGCATTGCGTGGTGCTCATGTTAGTTTTCATCCACCCAGAAATTGGTTTTGGGAACATTTGAAAAGTTTTGTTGAATATCAGCACAAGATGCATACCTATACATGAACACTGTGTTAATTTATACTTAAGAGATGCTTTTTATTTGTTTCAGTGACTGATGGACAGTTATTAGGAATAGGGTTAGGTGACCTTGACCCCAGCAGAAAGCAGTTGAGTGCATCTTCTGATGGACGACCCAAGTCATGCTGTGAGGTACCAAGGGTACCAGGAATTAAGTACGTTCATAGTATACACTTTAATGAAATACCAAATGAAAGATTTTATTTTTTGCAGCTTCATTGCAGTTTTGCTTACTAACTAATATTGCATTAATTAGAACCACATTATGAGTGTAAGACATGGTCAGTGCTTTTTCTTTTCTGAGAAGAAAGATGGCAGTATTTGCACGCATACGTTTGCTTGTATTTGGGTTCCGTGCAATCCTCTGTTCTTCATTATATTGCCACGTCTATGAGTGACTGTAAATGGGGTTTGGAATGGAGAATGGATTTATTGACCATGTATACACTCGCAGCTGATGACTATACTTTATAGATCACTGTCACATAGGCATGTCCTCAGTCTGTTACAGTCTGCACATGCCATTTCCTGGCAAAAATTTTAAACGCCGGAACTATACCAGTCTCGATGAATTACACGCTCCAAATATTACACATAAAGTCTTCTCTTCATAGCCAGACTTTCAACTGAGCATTGTTGCAACTAACTAGTTGTCCCAAAAGCATCCCAGTTATAACACCTCGACACGATCCATGTGGAAAATACAACGCTTTTATTGTTGTGGAGGCATATTTACCACACTGTTGCATAGCAACGGTCATGGCGCAGATCAGAGAAAACACCGCTTCCAACAGTTCTTCTGTTGCGTGTTGATTCTTTGCTGTGGGAACCTGTTTGTTTGCTGTGGGAGTGTATATATTGAGTCACTGCCTAGAAACGGCTCTGGTATATTGCTTATCTCATGGCAGTTGCATAGTAACTGTTCTACACACCACATTGCTCCCTCCATAAGGCTGTTTGTCCTGAATGACCTATAAGCATACCACCATTTCTTCTTTTCCAAAGGCTGTGCTTGCAACGTCTGTGCTCAGTCTCACCTTCCTCCCCATAGCTTGGTTTTCACTGTGTTTACTCTCTGGCTGTTCCTGCTGCTCCCTCCTTAAGGCTGCTCATCCTGAGCAACTCCCTCATAAGGTGCAAGTCAGATCATGTGTACCACCTCAATGTGTACATCCTCAATGTAGAGTTCCTCTGGATCCTGTATACCACATCATTTATCTGGGTTACTACCTTTTATGGGCCTTCCCATGAGGATTGGTGCTTGGGCAATTTCCCCTTCATGCGGGTTGGGTGATAGAGCCACATTTTGTCACCCTTGTGGTAGCCTGTGCAGTTGGCCAGTCTGTCATAATGAGTTTTCATGTGGTCACTGGCCAGCTTCAAGTGTTGGCAGACATAACTGTGGATGTCATGTAAATGGTTCCCAGAATTTCCGAATGATCGATTGTGGGTCATTCCTTGTCCAGGTGCCCCAAACAGGAGGTTGCAGGGCAGGCTAGCCCAGGGTCAAGCCCTTAGTGTCTGTGAGTTGATGCCTCGTAAGCAAGGAGGAAGGTGGTTAATTTTGTGTCCCAATTCCTCTGGTGCAATACACTGACCTTTGATAGGTGGTTCTTGACCATTTTGATGTACCACTCTACCATGCTGTCCAGCTGTGGGTGTAGGGCCATGGTGTTCCCAGGCATTTCAAAACCTCATGTATCAGATGAGATTCAAAGTTGTGGCCCTGGTCACAGTAGCTCTCACACTACTCCAAAGCTGCAGAAGAAGTTGTTAACCAGTTCTTCTGCCACCGTTGAAGCCTTCTGATTGGGAATGGTATAGGCATCTGGCCACTTGATAAAATAGTCCATAGCTATCAGGAGATATCAGTTTCCTTGGTTGCTTCGTGGAAAGGGCCCTACTAAATCGATGGATATCCTTTCAAATGGGGCCGCAACATAGTACTGAGGCATTTGGCCCCGATTCCTGGTCCAGGGGCCACAAATGGCTGGACAGGTGTCGCACAGCTGGCACCACTTCTCCTTATTGTTTCTTGCCTGGACCTTATTCAGGGCTTGTTGACACTCAAGTTACCTGATGGTTCACTGTGCATTTTTGTCAGTATATTGTTTACTCTGCCCCAAGGAAGAACTACCTGTGCTGTTTTAGATCATCCGCTGCTGGGTTCCTAGTGGAACTCTGTAGTGCCATTCCTCATGACGAGGGATTTCTGTGGGGCTCTACTCAGCAGTGTCATTCCTTTATGGGCGTTGTCCCATCTCTGTTTCTTCCAGAATGGGTCCTATGTCCTGGTCGTTCAGTTGTTCAGCTCTCAAAGCTTCTGGATCCCAGCAGGCTGCTGCTTTAGCCATAATAGCCTGTACTTGTTTGATGCCTGACCACACCTTGACTTTGTGGCCAAGTGCACGCCCCTTGACATGGTCATCACGGAAGGGCATTGGCATTGTGTTTTTCACCTCCTTAAGCAGATAGAAATGCACACAGCTGAGCCGTTAATACCTGATCCCAGCCCTTATGAGGTTGAAATTGCTATTGCAAAATTGGAAAGGTATAAATTGCCAGCTAGTGATCAAATTCTGGCAGAACTTGTTCAAGCAGAAGGCAAAATATTACGTTCTAAGATCCATAAGCTAATTATTTCTATTTGGCATAAGGAAACGTTGCCTGATCATTGGAAGGAATCTATTATTGTACCAGTTCACAAGAAGGGCGATAAAACTGACTGTAGTAATTATCGGGGGATATCACTGCTATCAACTTCATACAAAATGTTATCCAATATTCTTCTCTCAAGGTTAAGCCCATACATAGATGACATTATTGGGGATCATCAGTTTGGGTTTCAACATAACAGATCAAGTACTGATCAGATCCTTTATATTCGTTAGATATTGGAGAAAAAATGAGAGTACCATGAGACAGTACATCAGTTATTTGTAGACTTGACGAAAGCCTATGATTCTGTTAGGAGGGAAGTATTGTACAATATTCTGATAAGAGTTTGCTATATCCATAAAACTAGTTAAGCAAATTAAAATGTGTTTAAATGAAACTTATAGTAAATTCTGTATAGGTAAACATATGTCTGATAAATTTCCTATCCAGAATGGTCTAAAACAGGGAGATGCTCTAGTGCCACTACTTTTCAACTTAGCTTTAGAATGTGCCATTAGGAAGGTGCAGGAAAACTAGGCGGGACCGAAATCGAATGGAACACATCAGCTGTTGGTCTGTGCTGATGATGTGAATCTACTGGGTGATAATATAGATACCATAAAGAAAAACACACAGACTTTAGTTGACGCAAATAAAGAGGTTGGTCTAGAAGTAAACACAGAGAAAACTAAGTATATGTTGCTGTCTCGTCACCAAAATGCAGGGAAGAATCATGACATAATGATAGGAAACAGATGTTTTGAAAATGTGGCACAGTTCAGATATTTGGGAATGACAACAGATCGAAACCTTATTGAGGAGGAAATTAAGAGGAGAGTGAACTCGGGTAATGCTTGCTACCATTCAGTCCAGAACCTTTTGTCTTCTCATCTGCTGTCCAAAAACATAAAAATCAGAATATACAAAACTATAATTTTGCCGATGGTTCTGTATGGGTGTGAAACTTGGTCTCTGACATTAAGGGAGGAACATAGACTGAGGATGTTTGAGAACAGGTTATTGAGAATATTTGGACCGAAGAGGGATGAAGGGTGATGGGATGTTGGAGAAAACTGCATAATGAGGAGCTTCATAACTTATACTCTTCTTGAAGTATAATTAGAATGATCAAGTCAAGGAGGATGATGTGGGCAGGGCATTTAGCACGAATGGGGGAGAAAAGGAATGCATGTAGGATATTGGTGGGAAATCCAGAAAGGAAAAGACCACTGGGAAGACCAAGGTGTAGGTGGGGGTACAATATTAAAATGGATCTTAGAGCGATGGGATGGGATGGTACACATTAGATTGATCCAGCTCAGGATAGGGACCAGTGGAAGGCTCTTGTGAACATGGTAATGATCGTTCGGGTTCCATAAAAAAGGCTGCGAAATTCTTTGGTAGCTGCAGATTTGGCTTCTCCTCAAGAAAGGCTCAGCTCCATAAGTAAGTAAGGTTCTTAAAATTCATGAGCCAGATTAATGCAGAGTGGTTGGTGCCTAGGTGGAACTCTCATGTGTAGAGGTACTTGTTGTTCCAGTGCCCGCATGATTGCAAGGATTTCCTGTTAGGTGATGCAGTAATTTCTCTTGACCTTGTTCGGCATTCTACTGTAGTAGGCTATTATTCGCTTCTGTCCCACCTGTTCTTGGGAGAGCTCTCTTCCAATCCTGGTGTCACTTGCTTCTGTGTCATAGAAGAATCTCTCCCTTGACTTCGGGTAAGCAAGAATACGGGCTGTATAGGCAGCCTCCACTTCTGGAATCCACTGGATGCCTTGCTTCTACTCCATGAATTTGGTCAACAGTTTCACAGTGTTTGTGAAACCAGAAATAAACTGTCTGTAATATGTGTGTAGACCCAGGAAGCTTCTAACTTCATGCTTATTCTTCAGGGTCGGCCATTCCTGTATGGCATTCAGCTTCTGGGGGTCGGTGGTTATCCCCTTGGGTGTTGTAGTATGCCCAACATATCCTACTTCCTTCTGAAAGAGTGGACACTTTTTCAGATTGAGCTTTCAGTGTGCTTCTCAGAAGCACTGGAACATTTTCTTCAGGTTAAGCAGGTGCCCTTGGAATGAGCGACCAATCATAATCACATTATCCAGGTACTCTTAGACGTGACTCATAAGTGAGGCCTCTAAAGACAGTTTTCAGATGTCGCTGGAGTGTTGCAGAGGCCAAAGGCCATGATTGTGAACTACCATAGCTCTTGACCCATCGAGAATGCAGTAGAGCCACTTGCTAATATCCACTCTTCACGTTGAGTGTGGAGAACAATTTGGCTCCGCCATTTACGTGACCCTGCTGGTTGCATGAAACAAAGTCTTGCAGAATCCCAAGACAAAGTCAAAACAATATATTTTCTCTTTAGTTCTTCTGTAGGAATCTTCATAGGTGAAATAATGGATAGATTGTTTAAAGATTTTGGATATATTGTAGTGAGATCACATGTGCACCTGGCTAACATCTGCTATATTGGCACCTGTGTGAGGGAGGATGAAAGGCAGTGGTGTAAGTGACAGCTAAAAAAGCTATTGCATGGTGGGTGAATAAATACAGTATATGTGAATTGCACCTTTATTCTTGAAGTAACTTCATAAAAATATTCTGAAAAGTTCACTAGGTGCATGAGAATTCCAGATACTGAATAACCTGGAGTTTACTGAACTGATTGGTACATGATTCTTTTCCAAGAACTTGTTTTTTGCGAGCCAATACTACATACCATTGCATGTGCCCAGAAAAGAAGCACTGCACATACTTTCTAAAGTCTGGTGAATATTTGTACGTGGTGTGTTCAAAAAGTATCGAGCCTTCTTTTTTCCCGTGTAAACCAATGAAATGCGGGAGGCTCCCTTCGATGGAGATGTGGAGGGGACATTCATGCGCAGTCGTGAATTTTTTCCCGCCTGCAGAAAGCGTCAGTCGCTGGGAGTTGGCCTATGAGTGAGGATGTGTAGTGAGCGCTCGTTGACGGAACAACATGAGCAGCGATATTGCATCAAATTTTGCCAAAAGCTTGGCGATACCCAAGTGGAAACCATTTGCAAGATTCAACAGGCTTTCAGGGACGATACCATGAGCAAGTCATGGATAAAGGAGTGGTACAACCGCTTCAAATATAGCCGCACATCAGTGTACAGTGAACTGAGTTCAGGTAGAGACTCAGCAAACCGAAATGAGAATGTCATTGAGCAAGTGCAGACTTTGGTCATGGAGGACAGTCGTATCACAGTCCGAGAACTTGCGAACGAGATAGGGGTAAGCACTGGATCGATACATTCAATTTTGACCGAGGATTTGGATATGAGGCGAGTGTACGCGAAATTCATACTGAAACTGCGCATCTGATTCAGACTTTCATCGCCAAACACAACATCCCTGTGGTTTGTCAGGCTCCCTACTCCCCCGACATGGCTCCGTGTGACTTTTGGCTATTTTCCAAGCTGAAAATGCCGCTGAAAGGAACCCGATTTGAGTCGAGAGAAGACATCATTCGGAATGCGACGGCCCGGCTGATCATCGTTCCAAAAGATGCGTTCCAGAAGTGTTTCCAACAATGGCGGAAGCGCTGGGAGAAGTGTGTGCATTACCAAGGAGACTACTTTGAAGGGGATTAGGGTTTTGTACCTCCAAATCAATAAATGTATTTCTGCTGACCAAAGGTTCGATACTTTTTGAACACACTACGTATATGGATTACTGTATGAATTATGACTGAAAATTTAGATGATGTATGATAGGGCCAGTTATTTCTTCAGCATTCAATGCATTGAAATTCTGTTCATTGACATTTCATACAGATTTCATTTACACACATGATTCAGATTTTCAGTTCACATATTGGATTCTTCATTTGATTCACATACAACAAATAGACGTTTCTTCAGAAAGAATATTACAGTGTTACCTTCCTTGCAGCATCTATCCATCTCAACCGGAGCCTGGTACAGTGCAGATTCCCATCGGTAACAACACAGGCTCACTACCTGACCTCACCAGTTTCCACTTCCCACCACCTCTGCCTACACCTTTGGACCAGGAAGATCCAAACAGTTCTCCATACAGCACGGTAAGTGTAGCTTTGTACAAATATTGTGTGGGACATTGTCCATTGTTTGGGGTATAGTTAAAAAACGTTTCAGAAACCAGGTCTGTTGTTTCATGAGGTTGAGGGTTTCCTACTCAATTGGGACCATTCTAATTAGCTAATCTTGATCACTAAACAACCAAAGAAGCTCCAGGCATCATATATATACTGCTACCATCGTGTATCATCAGGAGGAGACAAATGGAGCAAGTTCCAAGCAGAGACATCTGCTGATGTCAAATATTGGTGGAATGTACGAGTAAGAGTAGAGGAAGAATTGCTGTTCAGAACTGTAAAAGACCTACAACTTGTTCTGATGAATACAGATTCATTCAGTCTCATAATCCTTGTTCCTTCTGTGTGGATGGTGTCTGTCATATTCCACCATATTATGTAGTCCTCATCCAAGGAATTGTTCTGCTATTTTTAATTCTCATATTTCTCCCATTGTAGGTTGCATTTGTGTATGGCAATTCTGATGATAAGCTATATACATCTCTCTCCTATATGCTGTATATGCAGTATAGATATCCCTCAGTTTATGAAAGTATTTTGTTCCATGAAAGAACTTCATAAAGTGAAAGTTTATAAATGAAAAATGAAATTGCCCCTTCGTTACAGGTGAAAGCCACCAAACTTATACATAAATGTAACTTGTAGTGAAAATGAAGTTTGTTAAATGAAAACTGAGCATTTCAGAATGTATATTTTATAATATTTTCAGCATTTTTTTTTTGACAAAGAGCTTATTTACAGATTTTGTTTCACCCTCTCTGTATCAGTTACCTAAATCCTTGGACTCTCACTTGTGAAGAGATCCATTGCCATGGTCTTAATCCACTGGAACAGCAGTCCTACATGAAGCTCCTGTCTTGTCCCAGTTGGTGTCAGAACATGTCACCTGCTAATAGCCATTTGGAATACAGGGTTACTCACTAGAAAGTACAGTTATGAAGTTGTCCTACCACATATAGTCATGAAGCGAATATTCATTGCATGAATCACAGATCTCACATCTAGTGTTGAAGATCTTTAAATCCATTGTGTTCTCAACAATACTTGCAGTCTCATGTTGCAGGCAGCTTCTAACCTGTCCACCATGATGAGTTCGTTTAGTGATCCTTCATGTAGTTTGACACCTGATTGTTAGTCCCTCAGATGTGCCTTGGACATAATTTGTTCATTCAGTATCATACAGGGCTGTGGTCTTGCTCTATCTTTCAAGTCTCTCAACATTACAATCTTGTCTCTGTATTGCCAAATGTTTTATGCCAACAGGTTTCTCACCTAAGACGACAGTGTGTGAAAATGGCATATCAAAAGACGTGTGTTTCGAAATCAACATTGCCTCGAAGTGTGGCAGTAACTTCTTCCCTGTAAGAAAACCTGGTCCTCCACTTCATTTTACACACCACCTTATGATGGGCTTAAATTTCTGCTGCTCATTGAGTTTAATAATGGTGTGCAAAAGTGACATTTTATGACTTCAAATCCGTACAATTGATGATATTCATGTATAATCAGCCTAAGTTCCTGTTCCCTTTGTTTCCACCTTTGGATGTTTGCTTCTATTTGGTACACAGCTGTTTATTTGTTCTTAATTTTGAATCACCATAATCTTTAAGCACAAATCATAACTGTGATACTTTATACTTTTTGACATATTCTCTTTCACTCTAATACCTCTTCTCTTCTTGTGATCTCACATTCTTATAGTGAGGGACACTTGCACAGAGATAGAATCTCGTAATAACATGAAATGGGGAATAACTGCTTGTGGCTTCTGACCTTGAAACATATTTCTCTCTCTCTTTCTTGCTTCCTACTCCTAGCTCATGATTTAGTGTGAACTTTGACTTGGACACATTTAAATGGGATTAAAAACCTCAACTTCATGACAACACATGGTTTTGTTTCTCTCAATAAAAGGGGAGGAACTTTTCTGACATAAAAGCAAATATGATGAATCCCTTTTAACACTAAGTGCAGCTGCACAGGCAAAAGAAGCTACCAGAAAGTTCTCAGACCTCAAGTCTGTGAAATGAACATTCATATTGAGATCAAGAAATGCTTTTCTTCATTCTGTACAAAAAAAAAATTGAAACTTGCAGGTGCATAGTTTTTATGCCTTAGCCATGAGTCCACTGATTGCATGCAGGCTTAAATACAGTGTGTCTGTCATGGCTTTTGGGTACACCATCACTCAGCAGTGTGACAGTTCACAGTAGCATAAATGTGATGTATGTCTCAACATGGCCTGGCACAAAAAGTGTGAAAGCATGTGTACTGTACTTCAGTCCTTCAGTATTTAAAATGCATTAGTCAGAAGCCGTAAGGGAGAAGACCATTTGAGAAACTAGACATAGATTGGGAGGTTGTCACAAAATGGGCATTAGAGAAGTGCATTGCAAGGATGTGCACTGGCTTCAGCTGGTAGGAGACAGGGATCAGTGGCAGGCTTTTGTGAACATGGTAATGGAGGTAATGGACCTTCATGTTCCATAAAGGGCAGGGAACTTTGTGACTGATTGAGTGACTGTTAACTTCTTAAGAAGAACTATGTTGCATGGAGTTTTTTAGTAGTATGTTCTAGCATATCCAGAAAAAAGAAACATAAGAACTTGAAATGAAGTTTATCTCAAATCTTGTTGCTTTATAAATGTTTTATATATATGTGGAAGTAAAGTGTTGTCATTTTCTTGAATTATTATGTTTTTCTTTTTGTTTTCTCGCAGGGAAGTAGTACAGACAAGTAGTTTTAGTGCCCTACACTTTAATTTCATATAATGATGACTTGTTAATACAGCTGGTTGATTTCCTGGTGCAGAGTCCTCAGGCTGTTAGTCCATCCACACTTTCTCCCACCAGTCTGTCTTCCCGACAAATGGGTAGGTTCTCATTTGGAGGCTCACCTCAAGACTCTCAAGGACCCAGTCCAGGACACTCACCTAGTACAAGGCGGAGACAGTATCCACAGCACCTGCAGAACCTGGTCATTGGTGGCCCTCAGAGCCCAACACAGCTCACACAAACAGCAGTAAGTTTTGAGAAATTTCACTTGGAATTCAGGTTTTGCATGTATCATATTTGGTGGAATATGGTAGGGAATGTAACAGAATTAGGCATTTGGCTTCCTTCGAAAGTGTGTGTCTGATTCATAACAGGTAAGCCACATGCTCTTCTCATGGCATATTTAGAGCTCCAAAAGATTAGATGTCTTAGGTTTTAACATGACTCTTACTAATTGATGCAAATTTCAGATATTTCCTGTGGATGCCATTTGTTTTCCTTTCCATCATCCTAAAACTTGTTTTTAATTAAAGTTGCATGTTTTTCAAAGATCCAGCATCGTACTAAATTCCAAGATCCCACGTTGAATGATAGCAGTGTGTTTTGTACCCCCACTACTCATGGCGATATGGGTGTTGTTTCCTGTATATTAGTAGTGGGTTGGTAGCATGGGCAGCAATCCTTTGCTGAGTGAGAGCTGCAAGAGCAGACTCATCGGCAGTGGATATAGTGCTAATGCTTGAGAGAAAAACTCTCTAACAAACTTTTGATACAAGAATGGACACAGATTCAGTTTTGTCAGTGGTAGAATTTAAATATGCTGCTAAGTCAGGATGCCCCCTGCTTTTAAACTTCAAGCAGGGATCTGTCTCTCATGGACCAGAGAGTAATCAAGAGCGAATAATGATATTTGTATGCTGGTTTGATGAGATACTTGTACGGGTCAGAAATCGCCAAATCTTCTGCCGGTGGTTGAGATTAGCTCTTTCTAAGGGGCCTGACTGAGTAGGTGTCTTCTCCCCCTCCATCACCTTAGGATGGAAACAAATCCAGTTTCTGAAATGTCATGTTTTCTCTTTTCCACAACACCAGACAATGGATAAAGTCCAAAAACCCAGTAATTATGTATTTCCATTTTATATTTATAAACTTACATACTTATAGTCTGTTTATGGGGTATTCTCTCTCTCACTCTCCCTCCCCTTCTCCCCCTGCACACTATTCCACCTGTGTTTAAAGCTTTTACAGTAATCCCAGTACTTTTTTTTTACTGCTAGTGGGGTGGGACCAAGTCCCTTGTACTGCGGTCACTTCTGGCCTATTGTACCAGCCCCAGATGATAGGTGAGGGTGATTGTGGAGCAATTGGTGAAATGAAAATTGGCAGGGGAAACTTGCCCCAGCGCCACTTTGTCCACCACAAATTCCACTTGACCAGACCCAGGATCGAACCCGTGGCGCCACAGTGGGAAGTCAGCTACTAACCACTTGAGCTGTGACGCGGCCTAATCTCAGTACTTAGTTAACTTAATAGTATTGTGACGTGTTGCGCTATGGAGGACACCCCTTCACCCCGCCAGTGGTGACATGCTGAGCGGAGCCGAAGTGAGCCGAGTCCAAGCACACTGGTTGCTATGCAAAGCAAGTAGACAGTGGTTGCTAGAGACAATGGTAATAAACAGCAGTACCCATTACGTAACAGGCAAACACGGCAACCAGGCAACAAGGAAGCGAGGCGTTTCCCGTTGTCCGGCTGAGGGTTTATAAGAGAACTACACAGCCTACAAAGCGAGTTAAAGTGTAGCAGCCTACGAAGTGAGTTAAAGAGTAGCAGCCGCCGAAGATGGTTGGAATCTAGCAGCGGCAGCGGAAAGAAGAATACGGGAACATGTTATTAGCATGAGAAGCAGATGCTTGGCTCACAAGAGAAATAATTGGGAGTGTGTGATACAGTGACACTGGAATAGCTCCCGTATCGTACTGTGAATACGTGTAGAGTACTGAGGACAGAGTGGACAGATTTGTGTGTAGGGTGTGTCAACCCGTAACACTGTTGTAATTAATTGTAGCCGAGACTTGTAAGTTGTTAAATAAACCAGTTAACAATCCGAACAGCGTCTTAAGTAACGAAACATATTGCAGGCAGATTGGCAGGGGAAACTGAAGTACTCGGAGAAAACTTGCCCCAGCACCACTTTGTCCACGACAAATTCCACTTGACCAGACCCAGGATCAAACCCGGGCCGCCACGGTGGGAAGCCAGCTACTAACAACTTGAGCTATGACGTGGCCTAATCTCAGTACTTAGTTAACTTAATAGTATAATGAATATTATTAACATATATAGATATATGCATGTATACACAAACATAAAATCACAATGTTCAGCTGTTTTCCCTATCTTCCTCAGTTATTGTCTCTTAAAAAATATAGGCAAACCCAACCATCTCTGATACCGTGTAAGATTTGAGGCTTTCACGGCGGTGACTATGAAGAAAGCAGTCTTCTGGGGTTTGGCACCGTGTATATGTGGTGTTAACCGACGTTTCGGAGGAACGTATCGCCCCCATCTTCAGGGTAGAAGAAAAAGTATAAGAAATCTGCAAGCGACAACACCGTGAGAAACGGTAAAGCTACGTTCCTCCGAAACGTCGGTTAACACCACATATACACGGTGCCAAATCCCAGAAGACTGCTTTCTTCATCTCTGATACCATTGTTTAAACATTATTGTCACAAGCAATTTGTAAGAAAAACTACTAGTGTGGTTGATTACAAACTACTTCATGATGCAATACTCATGAAGATAAATGTTTCGGATGCACAACAATTTGGAGCATAATCATGGCACTCTGTTACACAGCAATGGAGAACCGTTTTCAGAAATGTGGATTCAATTTAAATGAAACCAGATATGATGAAGATGCAACAGAACTTAGCATAGTAGAAGATGATTGGGGTAAGGTGAAAGCAGGTGTATCGTTTCAAGAGTATGTATCTTGTGATAATTATATTGTAATGTTTGAGGTGCAGACCTTAGAACAAATGATGGATGGAAAGTTTACATCTGACGAGTCTGAGGTGGTGGAGGGGGAAGATGATAAGGGGAAACATGAACCTGCAGGAACATTTTTGTCATTACTAGAAGGTATCGACTCTGTGAGGAAATACATAATGAAGTCTGATGTCCATGACACCATGATGGCTGCCCTAAGTAATAGTGAGAACAGGGTGTAACCGGGCTCAGCAGAACGTGAAAAAGTAGGATCTTACTTTAATGGACATGTGGAAGAAGTAAACTAGGTTAAAGTTTTAATGTAATACAGTATTAATTTAGTGTATTTTATTTCAGTAACTACATAAATTTTTATTTCTTTGAGTTTACATTCACTATTAATGGTCCCTTCAGAAACATAAAATACAGGTCTAACTGTTTTGGACTTTAATCATAGATATTATCTCCCAGTACCACAACACACATTTCTTTGTGGTGTTGTCCTTTTGTATTGCTGAGTCATGGATGCTCATTAGCATCATTACTAGTTGTACTATAAAGTACCATGACAGTCTTCACAGGTAATGAGTCATGTCAAAGTGGAGCTTGTGTCAGACAATTAAGAGACTGTCTATGTCTCCTTCCCCAGAGGTTGATTTGATGATTAATGTATACTGTTGCCATCAGAGTTTTAAATCATATCGAGTACACTTCTATGAAAGTATTTGAGCAGGTCTTTTGAGCATGGAAATTTGTTTCTTAATATCTGTTCTGCATTGGGTTCTGTGTTTGTAATTTGTTGAATAAATAATTAATTGCCACTCTGTATTATGCGTGTTAGGGTCGGCTCATATTTCGGAAATACCATCCAAATGTAATATAGCAGCAGCACAGGGTAGCAGCTGGTATGTTCTGTTAGTACTACAGTGCTGGTCTGTCCAGAAATATTAATTGCTGACTATTTTATTAGTTGTGGGGGGGGTACACGGTAGTGTAGTTGGTTGAGGGGCTATGCTACAAGCTGGAAGGTCACAGGTTCAAGTCCTGATGAGGTCATTGGATTTTTTCAATTGACCTAATCCTGCAAGCTGCACTAGGCCCTGGGGTTTACTCAGCCCCTAACAGAAATGAGTACCAGGAATTAATTGTTTGCGTAGTTGGTTGAGAGGCTATGCTACAAGCTGGTAGGTCGCAGGTTCAAGTCCTGATGAGGTCATTGGATTTTTTCAAATTTTCAATAATTTTCCTGGTGAGTAAAGTGCAGCCGGTGCGTAAGGCTGACAACCGTACTGCCATCTTTGAGCCGAATGTCTAGATTGTGTGGGACCCTCAATGTCTCACAACCCTATGGGCCTTCACGGCCTGTTACAGGGATAGCTTTACTTTTTTTTTTATTAGTTGAGTGGTACAAAATAATGCTGTAAACATGGCAGTCGGTTTATTGATGATAGTAGAAAACTGGAAGCATACATTAATTGCAGGTAGGGTTTACAGGTGTGTGCCATTCATACCTTTTATGAAAACCTAGACATTATACATTATTACATTTTCCTTTGTTGGGAAAAGAATTTGAAATTAAATACTATTTGTCACAGTACGTTGACTTTTGGAAAACCTGCACAAATATTTGGGTTAGTATATAGCAAGTTTTTTTTTCATTCATCTACAATTACCCTGAATTTAACTGAAGTGATTTTTTTTTTGTGAAATTGTTCGGTAACATGATCCAGTATGCAGAGCCATGCTGCTGTTGTTCCTAGTGAACACAAACTGGTGCTGCTTCCATAAATTGTCATTAATTGAATTAGAAAATAAACTTTTGAAGAGAACTGAAGTTAAGACTTAGCAGTAATTGGCTGATACATGTTTTATAACACAGACTCTTCAGTGATGGAAGAAGAAGAAGACCTACACAGCATTCATTACAGTGCATGTAAAAGCACCAGTTCCTCAGAATACCACCATTCACGTTTCTATCCACATTGCCACCATAGCACCACATGAAAGCAATTAGGCGTACCTATAGCATGTGTTCCAAANGATCTTTTATGTGCCGTAAATCTACGACACAGGACCCACGACTTAAAGTCCCTCCCAGAGGACTTGTTCCCTGAATTTTTCCGCCCTTAAAAATTCCACGACCTCTGCCGGGTTTGAACCCGCATACCTTGAGTCATGAGGTGGGAACGTTACCCCTAGACTATGGATGCCATTTAGTAATAGCATGGAATGCCTGTTAACATTGATGCTTCA